ATTACTGCCTCCACGCTCAAGAAGAATTGAAGCTCAGAGACAGGTTTCAAGAGTTAGAACAATACTGCCGTGAAATTGCCATTTATGATGAACACGTTCACTCCTACACATAGGCGATTTAGATTTGCTTGTTCTGATTTAAATGGGGACATGAGATAGTCCCTGGGAGCCCCACACATTATACTACACTTATTTTTCCTTTATGAAAATGTTTCTGGCTTCTGTAGTACAAAAACCCCGCGGGACGGTGAGGACATCTTCGGTGCTTTGGTTTGCAGGGTCCTCTGATTCAGTCTTGTGTCACTGTCATTTATAGGACCACTTTTTTTTTTTTTTTTTTTTTGGTTTTTCGAGACAGGGTTTCTCTGTGGTTTTGGAGCCTGTCCTGGAACTAGCTCTTGTAGACCAGGCTGGTCTCGAACTCACAGAGATCCGCCTGCCTCTGCCTCCCGAGTGCTGGGATTAAAGGCGTGCGCCACCACCGCCCGGCTATAGGACCACTTTTTGAGTTTGTTTCTGAAACACTGCTTTCTGTTAATAGTAAATTTTTTTAATATTTATTTATTTATTGATTGATTATGTATACAGTATTCTGTCTGCATGTATGCCTGCAGGCCAGAAGAGGACACCAGACCTCATTACAGACCTCATTACAGATGGTTGTGAGCCACCATGTGGTTGCCAGGAATTGAACTCAGGACCTTTGGAAGAGCAGGCAATGCTCTTAACCACTGAGCCATCTCTCCATCCCTGTTAATAGTAAAATTAACGCGACATGAGAAACTGCATAAAAATGGCCTTCTACTTTCTAACTGCGGCATCCCAGGGACACAGACCACTTTATTAGGCTGCTGCCTGCATCCTGAGTCAGGTGACTTCTCGTGGGAGCAAGCAGGCGGGCTTAACTGTAACTTAGAAGTGGCATTTTGGTAGTCCCTGTAATACCTGGGTTGCTAGGAAACAGCGCAGAATTTGGGTGGGTCAAATCCAAAACCAGTATATTTTCATATGAAAATTAATGATCACTTTCTGGCCTTTTAGTAACCAATGTCTCTGCAGTTGGAATGCCTGCTCAGTGAAAATAAGATATAAAGAGGCAGAGAGTTCCCTTTCCTTGTCTTCAGACCCCATTCCATCTCTGAACATCACCTACCTTTAATTTGAGCTGACTCAGATTAAATAGTCTGACTCCAGTTGCCTTCTGCATTAGGAAACAACACAGACAAAATGATGTTTCAACATATTCCAGGGGCCTGAATAAACAGTGTTTTTCTTTTTTTGTTTTTTTTTAATTTTATAATTTTTTCTCTTAAATTTTTTATAATATGTGTAGCCCAGGCTGGCCTCGAATTCGTGATCCTCCTGCCTCTGCCTCCTTCAGCAAATCCTACCAGCGTGCGCTGCCACACCCGGCAACAGTGTTGTTTCTATCACACTGCTAACACTGTGCCAGTTTCTAGCAAAACACAAACAAAACTCAGCATCAGGTTGGCGTGTTACAAACCTGTGAATGATGCCACAGCCTAAGCCTAGTTGTGTTCTGCTGTGCATTTGCCCCAGGCACACGAGAGAATTCTCTGCTCCTGGTGCTGCCTGCACCCATCCTCCCTGGGGCTGCCCTTCTGCTGCTTCCTTCTTCCCTTTGCTCTGTTCCACCTGGTCCATGTATGGGGTCCACACTGATGCTCTGAAGTTCATCAAGGGCCACAGAATGAACTGTTCTCTGCTGTTTACTCTGCTCCTCTTTCTTAGTCTAGGCCAGCAGGTTCTTGTGTCTGCCCTTGTCTTCATGGCACCACAGCCACGGGCTCTAGAGATAACTGTTAGATAAGGATGGTGGTTGATAAGACAGGTGCTGAGATGGATTTCAGGAAAACACGTACTTTCAATAATGGTGGTCACCACAACAGGGAATCCATCTCAGGATGGATTAGAAGGACGAATACAGGAAACACATAGAAGTCCTCACATTTACAAGTTTCCGGAGGAGATAGGTGTTCTAAGATACATGGCTTTACTCACAGAAACGAGGCCATAACTCAAGGGTGTGGTGAGCATCAGGACTGCGCCTGCTTGCAGAGGCAGAGCTAAAGATGGAATATTTACTTCACATTCTTCTTATAGCTGAAGAGAATAGAGATCTAAGCTGCAGGGAAGGCTTACATTGGCCACATTACGAACAGTTAATACAAGAGGTTTATTGGGGGAGGAAAAGAGTCAAAGAGGGAAGGGCCATGGCGGAGAGGGGAGATGAGAGATGCAGACAGACAGACAGACAGATGACAGAGAGGACAGGGAGGAGACAAGAGGAAAAAGACAGTCGAGAGATGAGCAAGAGGTATGAGAGCCAACAGTGTCTGGTGGGCACTTTTAAGGGGTGCACATGTCACATAGCTGACAGAGGAAAGGTACCTGGAGACAAGTGATGATGTAACTCCCCTGGCGGGAGAAGCAGGCTGCTGCCCAGGTGGAAACTAACAGTCCTGTAGAGTCATGTGTTTGAATGTGTCTCCTAAAGGCAGTGGTACCGTTACGAGTCATGTCCTTTTTGGAGGAGGTGTGGCTCTTTTGGAGGTGTATGTCACTACAAGTGGATCAAGATGTAGAACTCTCAGCTCCTTCTCCAGCACCATATCTGCCTGCATGCCACCATGCCCAGCCATGATGATAATAGAATAAACCTCTGAAACTGTAAGGCAGTCTCAATTAAGTGTTTTTCTGTATTGGAGGGTCCATGGTCATGGTGTCTCTTCACAGCAATAGAAGACTGACAGAGACAGGAGGTGAGAATATAGCAGATGATCATGTACAGATCTTTCACACACACACACATCCTGTACTAGTGGGAACAGAAGGTGAACTTGTTGGAGAACGTTGTGTGTTTTTGGATGACAGGTCCCTGGGTTATTAGGTACCATGATAGATGTGATGTAGCAAAGAGGACAAACAGTTTGGAGCATTGAGTGTGCTGGGATTCCAAATACATGTGGAGACAATACCTTTAACAAGAGCTAAAGCCCTTCAATCAAATCAGAAAGAACATAGCAGCAGCCTAGGGATGTTACCAATACTTTTGGTAACTTGGACAGGAGAACATTATGTAGCATTGTTCTTTTCTTTCAGTGTATGAGGCCCTGGGTTTCTTTAAACTTACTTAGCCTTTCACAGTTTTATGCACACATACAATGTACTTTGTTCTTGTTCCTACCCAATATCTTCTCCTATCCCCTTCTTCTTCCCACTGAACTCCTTCCCATCATACCCTCTTCTCACTTAAGGACTTTTATTTATGTGTGTCTGCAGTATAAGAGAGTGTTGCTTTCATTTCCTTGGGTGAGTGTTAATCTCTTGAGCAAGGGAGATTACCAGTGACTAAACCCTGAGGGATGGAACTCCTCTCTCCCTCTCACCCTCAACAACCATTAACTGCTGATAGCTCCTCTGGGAGGGGTGGAGCCTCATACACTTCTCCTCAGCCAGGCTGAAATGCTAATGGAACTACCAGAAAGCCATTGCTGCTGAGAATTTATTGGTCCAACTGCTATGTTATATCCAGGAGACAGCATTTCTTAGCACCCCTTCCAATCCTCTTTATAGTACAAACACTTTAAATGATTTGGAAAAACAAAGTATTTCACAGAATATAGTATGGTCTGGAGTTAGACCCATATGGCTATTAACTGAATGGATATTAAGTGCCTTGGATAAGCTTAAAACAAGGACAAAGTTAAAGATAAGATTCTAAAGAGTTGCCAAAAACTGTTTGTTAAAGGATGAAGTGATCTACTGCATGTAACTGTAATAAGGGGACAAATTTTCCTTCTTTTTTTTAAAATATTTATTGATTTATTATGTATACAATATTCTGTCTGTATGTCTGAAGGCCAGAAGAGGGCACCAGACCTCATTACAGATGGTTGTGAGCCACCATGTGGTTGCTGGGAATTGAACTCAGGACCTTTGGAAGAGCAGGCAATGCTCTTAACCTCTGAGCCATCTCTCCAGCCCCCCAAGTTTTCCTTCTTAAAACTTAAATCACTCCCTCAGTAGAGTCTGCACTGGCGATGACTTGAGAGGTGTCGTTTACAGTGAAGGTAAAAGACAGGAGGGAGGCACAGAAGGGACGGCCACAGAATTTGTTCAGATCTAGCCAGCTTTATTCTGTTAGACCGAGGGAAAATTACTGAGAAAGAATTTCCTGAGAGTGCATGTAAGATGTCTGCTCTTGCAGGGGACCCAGGTTCCTACTGAACACAGCACGGTTTACACTCATCTGTTCCTCATTCACAGGGGATCTGCTGCCCTCTTGTGGCTCTTAAGGGCACTGATGTATGTGGTGCATAAATGTGGGGGGAAGACATCCATACACGTAGAACAAAATGCAAAAAAAACAAAACAAAACAAACAACCTATACCTTTTATAAACTATGATGTTTCTCATACACTTTAAAATGCCTCAAGAATGCTAGAACAGCACACAGGGATCTGTCTGTCACTGCAGCAATATCTTCATGTCTGCATGACTGGAGGATGTCATGTTGTGGGAATTACTTTGTCAAGGGTTTATTAGGGACAAGAAACATTGGTCTGTTTACTTTTGAATATTACACCAGCAAAATCAGCGGGTTGCATGTGGATGGGAGTGTAGGCACAGGATATGTGTAGATGAGGATGTAGCCAATGGCTATGTGGACGTTAGCATGTAGGTTCTGGCTAAATGTAGGTGAGTATGTATACTGTATTAAGAATACCTAAGCCGGGCGGTGGTGGTGCACGCCTTTAATCCCAGCACTCAGGAGGCAGAGACAGGCGGATCTCTGTGAGTTCGAGGCCAGCCTGGTCTACAAGAGCTAGTTCCAGGACAGGTACCAAAGCTACAGAGAAATCCTGTCTCAAAAAACAAAACAAAACAAAACAAAAAAAGGAATACCTAGTTGATTTTTCCAATAGATGAACAATTTTCACACAGAGACCACATGTAAGAGTAAGCACACACAAGATTTGCATCAAAAAATCATTTAATGGTATTTGAAGTTTTTCACAATGCACTTAGATTTGCTGATCCAAGCTCATCCATCTCAGAGTTAGTTAATATGCACGAAGCTACATGAAGAAAGTCAAGGGCTAACACAGTCACCCATCTCTCTGGAATACCTCATGATCAGCATGTGAGGATTCTCCTAAGGATTAAAGCAGCCTGACTATGACCTAAGAATTTGTATTTTAAGTGGTATAAATGGGACCGTTCTCTACTTTTTGAAAAGGTCACACATTTCATGACAGCAAGTTTCTAAGCTGAGGCTGTCTCAGTTCTACGCACTCTGAGTTCTGTTCCCTTAAAACCAAACGTGCCCCACACAGCGGTGTTCTAACTGACTACGTGCTGGAGTTACACACAAGGCCTTGCAGCTCATGCAGCCGCCATTTTACCCAATATCGAATTATCTCCTTAAGAATTTGTTGTCTGTGTATTCAACAATGGAGATTAATTATGATGGAACGTAATGTAAATGATATCATAGGTGAAGAATTTACAGATGTGTATGATGATAAAGTGTTTGACCAGTGTGACCAGCATCTGCTCCATTAGCTAACCAAAGAATGGAGATTTTCCTTAAAGCAATGAGCACATAAGGTAGCAGTCAGCCACTTAGGAAATAGGCTCCATTTTTCTGCTGTTCCTGGTTTAACCTGATTGTTTGAAGGGGAAACCAAGAAAGTGTGACCTTTCCCATAACTACTTCTAGAGCGAGAAAGAGAGAGGATGAGCTGAAGTGGAAACGCACAGCGGTTAGACTCCACAGTCCTTGACGTACTTGGAGAGATCTTGGTTTTGACAGTGGGTTTTCCATGCCACCCTGTGGAGAAAATGAGACAGGGGAGAAATGGTTAAACGCCTCTCCTCTGTCACACACATACTCTAACCTTGGGGAGAAACAGTGTACCCGTGACACTAATGGTGATTGTTTCTGGGCCAGGATCTAGTGTGAAACACAGCTACAGCTGCAGGCAGAAACGGCTACTGAAGATGGAGCTGTGTCTGCAGGGCAGTTTATTCCTCCTGAACCTGAGCAGAGCACAGGATGATCAATGTCATTGTGATGTCTCAGGAACAGAACAGTAAGTAGCTCACTCTATGGAGGGTTAAGAAGAGAGTATTCATGTATATAGGATTCTCAGAATTCAGAGAAATCCCCTAAAACTAATGATGTAGAGACAGGTCCCAGCAGTGCCTGCAGTGCTCAGAATGACACTTGGGCCTCATTAAGGCTCACTGCCTAGATCAACAGAACCCACAGTTTCCCCTTCCCAAGTTCCCACATACCATGCTTTAACGCCTTGTGGGTCCCTCACAACCCGCTTTGCACACGTGATGGCTTGAGTGATGTCATCCTGGAGCAAAACTGAAAGACAGGGGTGGGGAATGACAAGGACGGTTAGAGAACCCATTTAGTTCAGATCCAGGCAGCTTTCTTCTGTGACACTGAGCAGTGAATACAAAAAATGACATCACAGCTGTCCATTCATATGTGATTATTGGAGAGAGTCCCTCTTGTTTCCATCCACTTGACATGGTATAAGCCATTTTATTTCTCATTTCTCAAGACCCTGGGTGATGGAATAGACTTGAAAGTAGAGTGGTCTTAGAATTCCATCACTGATAAAAAGTAGAGAACATATTGAAGTAATGAAGAGTTACTGGAGGTTGTATGACTGTCAGCTACCATAAGAGAAGTTCCTCTTCCTTTACACACTGGAAATTAGAACATGCTAATAACAGTCACCTGGGTCTACCATTGGAAAATTCATCCTAAGAAAACAGATACTGCACAGATGACTCAGTGACTAAGAGCCTCTTCCAGATGACTTAATTCCCAGCAGCCACATGGTGGCTCTTTAGTGTCTGTAATGCTTGTTCCCCAAGATAGAAAACCTCTTCTGACTTCCACAGGAACCAGGCACACAAGTGACACACAGTCCTATATGCAGGCAAAGCACCCACACACATAAAGATATGAATGAAAACAATGCATAAGCCTTGTGTGAATAAACCTCTTCCCAGCAATTTATAACCAGTAAAATAAATGGAGTCAGGTGCTCTTAGACTCAAGACCTGAGGCTGTCAAGATAACTCAGACTAAAGACACTGGTTGAGCCCCAGGATCTTGAGTTCTACTCCCAGCAACCATATGGAGGCTCATAACCATCTATAATAAGATCCTCAGACATCTTTTGGAATGCAGGTAGAACACTGTAACTATAATAAATAAACAATTTTTAAAAAAAAGTTTCTATACTTGTGTGGTGTTTTCAATGTAGAGAATATTGCTATTGAAACTTTATTCTCTTTTTAAAATGAGAATTCAGGTCAATATTTGTTACCATGAACATCTCTCGAAGCTATGCAAGTATAATTTGTGTAAAAATAGGAAATCTTTACATGTTTCTATGTGAGTACATATCTATGTTATATATCTCTACATTAACCTACAGAATAGATGTATAATCTAGAAGAGTATTTTCCAGAGGTTTCCAGGTATATGAACTCTCTAAGCAGTCAAACCAGGAGTAATATTCCTCAACCCCCGTAGATACTAATCCCTTTCAATGACTGTAGATGAGTCTACAAAACACTTTTGCAGATAGGCTAAGGAGATGACAAAAATATTCCACCATCTGTTCTCTTGAAAATTTTTAACAACCAAATTTAGCAGAGTAGGAATTAATAGTTCACTGTTTAGTGCCTGGCTAAAATGAACCAAGTCTTGGGTTCACTTCCCACACTGGAAAAATAGAACGACATTGGCTGATTAAATTCATGCACAGAAATTGCATATTACTTCCACCACGGTATGAATTCAAGTTCTTCCATCCCAAGCCTCCATCCTGATATTAACCCTGTGTGCCCCATTTCTTGTTGATAAGATGTTTCTTCTTAAATACTTAAATCTATGTTATTTTATTTGATGAGATCCTAGGAGTGAATTGTTTGAATATGCAAACTAAAGCTTTAAAACTTAATTTGAAATTAGTAATTTGCTCTAAGATCTCTCAACATGAAGAGCACATCAATACATACCAAAGAAGCCAGTTGGACAAAATGTCAGGACTCCATAGTACCCTGTCATATGAGCTTTATTATAGTAATATCTTCATTTCTATATGCTACAAATCCTTATAATAAAATCCATTAGGTAAAAAGGGCCATACAACAATATCTATAACTAGTCATAAATAAACTGTTAGAATGGAAATCTTCAGAACAAAACACCAATAAGGCCACTTACAATTATTTGTTGCATATATATATATATATATATATCCCAGAAACATTCATGTTATAAAATAACAATGTTGCAAATATTTACTTTTATTAATTTTAATTGTGTGAATGAGTAAGTGTATGTGAGTATAGGTTTAATCAAACGTCAAGTTTTAATGATAACAACTATTTATTTTTAAATTTTCTACTACTTTAACATGTGTGTCTCTGGTGGTATGTGCACCCATAAAAATGTACATGTGTCTATTATAATGTAGAATTCAGAGGACAGGTACAAGACCTGTTCCTTAGAAGCAGTCCCCATTGTTTCTGAGATTGTCTGCCATTGGAACTGGCTTACAGATTAGGTTATGCTGGTTGGCAAGTGAGGTCCATGGATCTGCCTGTCTCAGACTCTGCTGGCCTGGTCTTACAAATGCATGAAAGTCAGAAAAAAAAAATAATGATTATCTTGAAATTTGCGGACAAACGGGTGGATCTGGAAAACATAATATTGAGTGATGTAACCAAGACCCAGAAAGACAAATATATATACTTACTCATATAAAGTATGAGTAAAGCACAAAAAAAAAAAAAACAACCTACAATTCACAACCCAGAGAACCTAGACAATAGGGAGGACCCTAAAAGAGACTTACGTGTATCTAACAAGAAGTAGAAAAAGACAAGATCTGCTGAGTAAATTGGGAGCATTAGAATAATTGGAGAGGTGAAAGAGAGGGGGGAGAGGGAGGGACAGATTGGAGAAAATTAATAGCTCAATAAAATCTATTAAAAATGAAAATACAATGATTTTATTGCAAAACAAAAACAAATGCATTTCAACAAATTTTTATGTGGAGGCTGAGGGTAAAACCTTGATTTATGGGACTCCTGTCTGAGCTGTCTTCCCAGGCAGTATTTGGTTTGTAATTCAGGGATTTTGAGGTGGAACCCAGGCCCTCTGATTGGTAGGCAGGGCATTCTATCAGCACACTATGCTCTAAGTCTACTGTCTCCCTTGGCTAATTTCAATGTGAATGACAATGACTTTCTAGCAGTCTAGACAGTCTGCCCAGGTTCCTGGTGTTTGCGTCAGTGCTGTCTCCTGCACAGAATCTCTGCTCTTGCACCTAGGGCAGGTGAGCTGTTTGCTCTCTGAACTAATCCTGCCATGTCTTACCGCTGCAGGATATCCCACAGGCGTTCACTGCATTCGGGGTTTTGCCATCATTGCACCAGTATTTGCTATTGATCTGAAATATCCCGTAGTCGGTGCTTCGGCTTCCAGGGTTGTAGTTTGTAGCCTTTGTGTTAAAATTGCTCTCGTGTTGAGCCAAACACACCCCTAGAAAGAAAAGAATATTCATCAGTAAGCGGCGACACCAAATGATTTACACTGGATACCAAATTAGCTTCTTCTCTTGCTGTGTTTTACAAGTGATTTATTTATAAGGACAGATATATGAATAAAATATGATACTACAAGTTCAGATCAGGTCTGGCTGTGTTCCTCAGGGAAGTCCCTGGTCTCAATGATCCTCCTGCCTCTGCCTTTCAAGTAGGTAGAACTGCTGTCCTGTCAGCCAGTGAAAAATTTCAAGTGCTCCAAACAAAATCTACTTGAAGACAAATCGATTTGCACTGAGAATAAATGGGATACGGTCCTTTAAATATTCAAATATATGAAACAAACACAGTGGTACTCAATTATATTCCCAGCAGTGGTTAAGTAGAGGCTGTGAATCTTCATGGGTTTGAGACAGCCTGGTTTACACAGCAAGTTTCAGGCCAAACAATGCTATAGAATGAAAGCATTCCCCCTGCTCTTTAAAATAAAATAGCTCTTTCTTCCACTGTTTCTCCCCCTTCTGTCTATCCTCAAAACCCCACTGCCAGAAATAGACTCATGGAGAGTAATTAGGTAAATTTGATAAATTAATATCAAATACATATGCTAATAGATTTCCTATGAGAAAACTAAGGATTTCCTAAGATAATGCTATAATAACCAAAGTCAATTAGCATGTTAAATTAGAACTCTTTTTTCTTCTCTGTGGCACTAAGTATTCTACTTTTGTACAGAATACGCAATCTCCTGCCTCAGCGTCCCATTGCTTGAATTCCATGAGTGTGTAGCACTACAAATGCTGGTGAGAATATTGAAAGCAAAAATAGGAAAAGCTATTCTGCAATCCAATCAAATCATATGTTCATCAATCCACCTATACATCTACCGAACCATCTATCCAATCATTCATCCATCCACCCATCCATTCATTCATCCAGTCATCCATCTGTCCACCAATTCATCTACACATGCTCTCTCGGTTTACTTGTTCATGGACAATTAGTTATTGAGTAGTAACTGCCTTAATCTAATCTGAAAACCACATTAGTTATAATGTGATCATGGGAGTAAGCCACAAACAAGTTTTCTTCATCCATGTCCTCCACTGTGTAGGATGAAAGGCCATCTCAGAGTGAAGAAGCACACTAAATCATTGCATCCACAGTGTCCAACATCATTTCAGCAGCCTCTAGGGGAAATCAGACCCCTCTGTTCTGCAGAGGAAGTTCAAAAAGCTTGAAAACATTTCTCTAAAACTCTCCATACCATAGTGAAAGACATGAAGACAAATGCCAGTCACTCCAGCTCTGAGTCCTCTCTTGTATTCTCAGCCTCCTGTGGACTTTCGAGTCTGAAGCAACCTGAAAACCCAGTGACGCTCTAAGAGCACCTCAGGTTCTATTGCCTTAGCCTGGCACAGATGCCCCCTCCCGTGCTCTCCTCACCCCAGTGTCTGTGATGATAAAGACAAATGCTGGTGTTTTCCATCAAATCAAGCCAAGTACACGGGAATCCTACAAGCTTATTGTCTCTGGGTCCTGCGCCGCTCACTCATCGCTTTCTTATACCTGTTCTGTAGGGGTGCTGATGTAAGAAGAGACTTACAGTCTGCCAAGCTGACTCCCTTGTAGCCATCCATCCCATTTTCTTTCAGAAGTTTGGCAAATGCGCAGCGTGTGTAGACCTTCGCGTCGACAGTGACAGAAAGCAAGAGCAACCCTAGGGCTAGGAGAGCCTTCATTTTGCCTGGGAATCAACTCAGCAGCTTCCTGGAGCAAAGTGACACCAGTATTTAAGCATCTTTTAACTCCCTTCATCCTCTAGTGGTTTGGGGGATCTTCCCTGTGAACTTCCAAGCAGGAAGTTCTTATTGATCCGTAAACTTGAAAATAATTTTTTATTTTCTCCCAGTGTGTGAACAGAGATGTTCTGTCCTATAGACAATGATGAAATGAGACTGTGTAAAGACTTGGCTCACAGAGAACCAGATTGCAATCCTCCTAAACAGGAAGCCCATATTATTTTATCTTGAATATGGCCAATATAAAGAGAAAAGCGGTTATGCTTTACTGCTTAAAATAAAGTGTGACTATAAGTCACACATCTTTTAAATTTTAATTGTTTTCTGTGTATTTACCATCTTGCATTGTCTTTTTCACTGCAAACTATCTTGCATAGACCTTACCACATAAATAATCTCTTAGTATTTATGGTTATATGTCTTTGCTTAATCAGTTTCCTTTTTTAGACTTCTAGATTGTATTTTGTTGTAAACCAGTGTATTGGTTTTTTTTTTCTGTGACAAGGTCTCACTGTGCAACACTCACTGGCTTGTAAATTGTTATTAGAGTAGACTGTACTTGAACTGTTCTGCCTACTGAATGCTGGGTTTAAACATATGTGCTACCATGAGCAGCAACCAGGTTTTTTTTTTTTCTTTTTTACATTCAAGTTACTTATCTAAGTCCTTTCTGAGCATAAGCAAAGGAAAAACCAATATACTGGTCATCTTTGATATAAGAAACAGTGTCTTTAAAGCCCTGAAAACTTTCTGTCCACACCCTGAATAACAGTTTAATATAGAGCTGTGTGCATCGAGTCTTTTTGTTATATTTTGTTGGACTTCCAACTTCTAAAGACACAATTTGCAATGTTGTGAGAGTGGAGCAGGATAGGAACAGAACTTCTTGCAGTGAGGTGCAGCAGCAAGAAGATGTTGAGGAAGATGTGTAAGGCAATGCAGGTGTCTGGAGAGAAAATGCAGTTGGAGGAAATTGCACCGCAAACTGAAGACCCAAACTACAGTAGGATCTAGACTCTTATCCTAGAGATAATAGGGAAATATTCATGAATGTTTAACTGCAGTTTGGGGCAGTAGAATACTTACCTAGTGTGCACAAAACGTTGGAATGCCTTCTAAACCCCCATAAACCTAGGAATGATGCTGTAAGCCTATAATTTCGACATTCAAGACAGAGAAGCAGGAGGACCAGAAGGTTCAAGGTCATCTTTGCGTAAGTATCCAGTTTGAAATCTGCTGCCCGAGACCCTGTGTCCCTCTGCCTTCTCAGTTCAAAACTGAGGCTGGTCTGATGGCTCAGCAGGTAAACTGCTTTCTGTGCAAGCATGGAGGATCAAAGGTTATTACCCAGAACCCATGTACAATGCCATGTGGCATGGTGCTCAGCCTGAAATCCCAGCACATGAGGTAGGGAGACGGGGAATTCCTAGAGTAAGCTGGCCAGTGGGACAATCCAAAATGGTGAGCTCCTTGCTTAGTGAGAGACCCTGCCTCAAAGTGTAATGTGGAGAGCAACCGAGAAAGACACTGAGTGTCAGCCTTGGCCTCCACAATACTGCCTTTGTGAATGTGTGCGCACGGCCTAGGTTGTTGCATTAACATGGGTGAGTGTTACTGACTTGAGCAAGGGCAATTACCAGTGGCTACACCCCTGAGGAAGGCTACTCCTTCCCCCTCTGGCCAGCAACCATTTTCTGCTGATAGCTCTTCTGGGAGGAGTGAGGTCTCACATACCCCTCCCTCAGTGACTGGGTTCTGGGTCAAGATCTAGCATGAAACACGGGCTGTTTATAATCTAAGGCTTGGGGGTACCTCCCTCCCAGTATTACCACATGTTTGCCTCCCATAAATGCTTCCACTCTTCCTATAGAGGTCACCACAACATGAATTGTGTTCCAGTCAGTGTGATGAACTTCCCATAAGTGCTGTGAGGACAAGAAGGATGCTCTGTGCCTTTGTCCTCCCTCAACCCGGAGTCTGGGTAAAAGGCACGCCTAGCTCAGTGTAGCTGCTAGATAAATACTTTAGGCTCTACATTACACACTAACAGGCTGGGAATAGTTGTGCCAGTCCAGTCAGGTAAGACAATCAAAAGATAACTGTGCTTTAAGAATCAGAATCAGACAACAGGCATCAGCGTCACTGGACAGGAGGCTTCAAAACTCTTAGTGGATCTCCTGGCTTATACCTATGGCTGTTCTTTTAATAAACGCTTTGATTCTTATTTTTTTTTTGTTTTTTTTTTAATTTATTTATTATATTATGTGTATAGCATTCCTTCCACGTGTGCCTGCAAGCCAGAAGGGGGCACCAGGTCTCATTACAGATGGTTGTAAGCCACCATGTGGTTGCTGGGAATTGAACTCAGGACCTCTGGAAAAGCAGTCAGTGCTCTTAACCTCTGAGCCATCTCTCCAGCCCCGCTTTGATTCTTATATCTAAGTATAAAGAGCTGCGTGGAGCCGCACCTTAAAGATGGCGCTGGCTTCCGCCCTCCACGATCCCAAAGGTGAGCGCTCTCTGACAAACAACTCCTTATTTGGCTAAGGCCGGACTCTTGCGATCATCACCCGATGATCACAAGCTGTTTGCATATGCGTGGACCAATGGACGGTGCCCACGTGGCTATCCAGGGTTGGTAGCCCAGGCCTACTTAAGGGCTGGGAGAGGCTTGCCCGGGGAGAGAAGAGAGAGAGCTACAATTGTAAAAAAGTCCTGAATAAAACTGCTTGCAAGAAGAGCTCCGGTGTCGCGTCATCCATGCTGGTCGAGGAGGTCGCGACACCGGACCTATGGCTGTTCCCTTAATAAACGCTTTGATTCTTATATCTCAGGCCCCTGTCTAACCTACATGCTGATCCAATTAATCTAGAGCACAGTTTAACATGCCATTTGGACTCTTATGTATAATGTCTCCTAATGCAGGAGTACAGATTCCAGCCTTTTATCCAAGCACCGGCATCCGATGAGCACAGAATGAAGGTGAGGAGGGAGGTGATTCCCCACAGCATGGCAATCCAACTGGAAGAAGTTACATTAGGGGGAATGACCCTATCTGTGGACCCCCACACCCTTTGCCTTCTGTCCTGTGGAATTCTTTCCTTCATATACTGTAACCAAAGCAGGGAATATTAGGTCATGGCCTGCTGCTTTTCACATGGTCACTGTAAGACAAAGCAGCCACACCTTCCCCAATACATGGGTCTCTATCTCTTTTTAGCTATAAGAACAGTGTAAAGTTAATATTCCTTCTTTAATCTCTGCCTCTGCAAGCAGGCACAGCCCTGATGCTCACCCACACCCTTGAGTTATAGCTTCATTTCTGATAGTAAAGTCACGTATCTTAGAACACTGAGCCCCTCAGGAAACTTGGAAAAGTAAGAACTTCTGTGTGATCCTTGTACTCCTCCTTCTAATCCATCCTGAGATGGATTCCCTGTTGTGGTGGCAGCCATTATCAATACTGCCTGCTTACCTGGAATACATCTCAGCATCTGTCATATTAACCACCATGCTTATCTAACAGTTATCGCCACAACCCATGGCTATGGTGCCATGAAGAGAAGGACAGACACAAGAACCTGCTGACCTAGAGTAAGAAAGAGGACAGAGAGAAGCAGAGTAAACAGCAGAGAACAGTTCTTTCTGCGGCCCTTGATGAACTTCTCAGAGCATCAGTGCGGAACCCATACTTGGACCAGGTAGAACAGAACAAAGGGAAGAAGGAAACAGCAGAAGGGCAGCCCCAGGGAGGATGAGTGCAGTCACAGCAAGAGCAGAGAGTTCTCTCATGTGTCTGGGGCAAATGTACAGCAGACGCCAGCTAGGTACTTGCTGCTTAGGCTGTGGCATCATTCACGGCTTTGGAACACGGTAACCTTTAGTTGGGCTCTGTTTGTTTTGTTTGTTAGAAACTGGCACAATGGTGGCAGTGTGGTAGAAATAGCACTGTTTACTCAGGCCTCTGGAATATACTGAGCTGTCATTTCTGTCAGTGTTAAACTGTTTCCTGATGTAAAGGCCAACTGAGGTCAGACTATAGCTTTGATTAAACCAAGGTGATGGGATTGTGTCTGGAGACTTGGGAAGGAAATTTGCTGCCTTCTTTTACCTAATTTTCACTGAGTAGGACTTTCAACTCAGAGACATTGGTTATTTAAAGGCCAGAAATTGATCATTAGTCTTCAAACCAAATGCACTGGTTTTGACTTTCACACACCCAAAACCTGGGCTAGCAACCCAGGTATTACAGGAACCACCAAAATATCACTTCTGGGTTAGGAGTAAGACTTCCTGCTTGCACTCACAAGAAGTCCCCTGACCCAGGAGGCAAAAAGCAGCTGCTTAAGACGGTCTGTGTGTTTAGGGACACAACAGTTAGAAAATTGCAATTTTATGCAACTTCTCTTGCCATTTTCATATTAATACAAAAGGGAAAGCAATCTTTCAGATACAAGCTCAGAGAGTGGCCCTATGGATTCTAGTTTAATACGACTCATTCTAGAGGACAATTGCAAACAGACCTCCGAAGATGCCCTCACAGTTCCAAAGGGTTCTGAACTGCAGAAACCAGAAAGATGGTTCAGAAGAAAAAGAAAAAGAAAGGAGTACAATGCCTTGGATTCCCAGGGACCATCTCACTCCCCGTTTTCATTCTCATTCAAATCAGAAGAACGAAATCTATTTTGACTATGTAAGTGGGAGTAAGCTTGTTAATCGTAAATGGAAATTTCACCTTCTTTTTCTAATTGGTCATCTTGTTCTGAGCCACAATGCTTATCAAGTGCAAAGGTGGTAATTCTCTTTCTGAATTCAAAACAAAAACAAAAACTAACTACATTTCCTGTACAGGAATTTACAAGTGTCTCAAGAAACTACAGTCAAAAAACAAACAAAAACAAACCAAACTCCAAAAACCTAAAACAAAGAGGGTATCTCTCTCAGAGTGGGTCCAGTCTCCTCC